CATTGTGTATTTCATAGCTTCCGGCCGTGGGAGCCGTGCCAATTAACACTTAACAGAGGGGTGCACAAAGTCCGCAATCTAGACTACCAGTTGTCCGACTTCCATTTTTGTGGAAGCCGCGGTGGCTGAGCGGTCTAGGCGTCTGACTTTGTGTGCTGGCGATTAGATGCCTGACTCTGAGGGTGTGGGTTCAAATCCCTGATGAGACTCAACACAAAAAAAATGTACTAGAATCTGTACTTTACTAAGGAAGTGTAATCCCAAATATAACATTATGCTACCGTTAGAAACCATTTGTAAATTCCTACAGCACAAATATCATGCAGAAAAACATAGAAGCACAATCATAGGGAACAGTGATGCGAACCCATATCAGGCATTCCCGAGGAGGCTGAGTATTTTAAGGCTGTAGCATCTTGTACGAGATATGGCGAGTGAGTTAAGATTTTAAGTCAGATCGGCAATATTTCAGCCATATCGTGACTAAATCATGTTATAGATTTATAATGATTAAAAGTATATTATAAACACCTGCTAACAAAGGACAGTAAAACAACTAGACTATCACAGATATAAATTTAAAACTGGCAATAAAAACTAAAACAGTTTAACTATAGAAGGCGATACAATATAAAAACAGGCTACAGATTGCCAACAACTGAAGGTAGATCACCATACTAGGGACCATTGGGACTTACAGTACATTTGCTACATGCATGGACCCTTGTTGGATTTACACCATACCTTCAGCCGCTGGCGATTGTAAGAAAATTTATCCAAAACTAAAATCGCAAAAATACTACGTTAAAAAAAATCTTGCTTTAAACTTTACTTTGAAAGTTTTGGGACTTACGTACCCTTCATCCTGTACGAGATATGGCGACCATGATGTCACTGAATTAGTGAGTGGACATTTTTCAATTGTGGTCAGTGTATCGACAATTACGCCAGTTAAAGTCTGTTGCCATAATTGTTATGTTCTTGTGGTACATAGTGGATCATTGACAAAGAGTCGTTAAACCCTGTCGGTATATCCCTACTTTATCAAATGTGTAACCAGAAAAGGAAAGATTTCAAAATCTTTAACACGCTGAACAAATATTTCCAAACATGAACGATTTTGTGCCTAATAAATATCATGTTCGAAATTTGCAAATGAAATCTATTCGCGCTGAAAATGTTTCGAATGTAAGAAGTTAAAATGGCTTAAATTACTGTTTGGCCACACTAAGAATGTATACACGTCGAGAGAATTAGCTTTCCAAAGCGTTCAAAACACAGCCAATTTAATGCAACCATCAGCTGATACTTTGAGCACAATTGGAGTTTACAGGTAATGAATATATGTTTTCAAACTATATTTATCACAGTTACGACAATAAGCTGTAAGCACATCTGGGTGATTGAACTCGTTGTGTCAGTAAATATGAAATGTCACTTGTACACAGCTGCTTTCGTATTGCAATGTTCTGTGAGAATTAGTTGACTTCAGAAGTCTCGTGAGGTACCGACAGTTTTCTCCATACAGTGATCTATTTTGGTAAGAGCTAAGAGCTGTCCTTTCCCGTCACGATACTAACACACAAGAGTGACTGCGTTTAGTTTTACGCCGCACGCTGCAATATTTCAGGTATATGGCGATGGTCTATAACTAATCGAGTCTGGACCAATCCAGTGATCAACAGCATGAGCATCGATCTACGCAACTGGGATACGATGACAAGTGTCAACCAAGTCAGCAAGTCTGACCACTCGATCCCGTTAGTCGCCTCTTACGACAAGCTTGGGTTACTGAAGACCGGAGTTTATAAGTTATATAGATAGGACATATTTGTACACGTGATTGTGTATGGCTTTACTCTTTTCCCGCCAAACATTTTATAATACATACTACATTCAAATCATATTATGTAAACAGTATACAGTCAGTTTAAAGAGTTTAATGGACGTTTCTTTCAATTGGCTGCTAAATTTTATGCTAACATCATATGTAGACAGTATAACAATAATATAATGACAGGAGCATTAAGATCATCGTAATAAACGATGATTAATAAAGAATACTTGTTTGTTGTTGAACTGCCTGTTTGTGCGACAACTTTAATCGTGTCTAACTTTGATCAATGATAAGTGTCATATATAGATTAGTGTCATATATAGATTAGTGTCATATATAGATTAGTGTCATATATAGATTAGTGTTATATATAGATTAGTGTCATATATAGATTAGTGTTATATATAGATTAGTGTCATATATAGATTAGTGTCATATATAGATTGGTGTTATATATATAACTTGTTTCCATAGCCTCAATTACTTAATATTATGTGTTGATCTGAAAACTGGGCAATTAGTCAAGATCAAAGTAAAAATCAACGCAAAATGTCTAAGCATGTATCGAACACATTTCAATCGATGCGCGTTTTGTTGGACGAAATAAAGGTGAGGTGAGGTGAGGTGAGGTGAGGTGAGGTGAGGTGAAATTGGGTTTAACGTCGTGCTTGAGAATATTTCGCTCATATGACGACGTGCATGCGCGTGTATGTGTATGTGCGGCTGCTTGTACTAGCCCAGACATAAGCTGATTTTATAGTACTAGCCCACTGAGATACCATGCCGCAGTGAAGCATGAATACCCCACTCAGACACAGTATACTGACTCCGAGCCGACCAGTCCTTGTTGTACCCATTAATGCCGAACGCCAGGCAGGGACCCACAAGTACCATATTTTAACGTCCTTTGGTATGACGCGGTCGGGGATCGAACCCGCAACCTTGCGCTCTCCGGGCGGACGCTCTAAGCACTACATCACGGAGGCGGTTTGGACGAAATAGAACATTATTTCAAACATGTTTTTAAGAAGCCTGTCGTTTTCACGCCTTATTGTTGAAAATATGATAGACTCCATGGGAATTGTTAATTACCTGAAGGGCTTTAGCTCATGCCGAAACTTTGTGTAATTTGAATATCAATATGGCCGCAAGGCAGCCATCTTTGATTGTAAAAATAATTTCAAACTTCTTCTGCTCCAAATCTCAAAGGGCTAAAAGCTTGATCCCGGGCAGGGGAAACTGGCGCTATAATTATTTATTTATATCTTTCGTTCAAAGGTAACTTGGTATGATATCAAATATGGTAGCTTGCAGCCATATTGGAAGAAATAACATAATTATCATGATATGGCATCTGTCGTCCTTTTTTTCTTCTGATAATCCACTTCTGAAACGTCCCAACATGCAGCTGGTGAAAGGTCCTGACGTACCCTGGAGGGTCGTTAACATCACTGAAAAGGTGTCATCCTTACAAAAATCAGAATCGCATGCTGATACCTATGTCACAGAGCCCTTCTCACAACGTGGCTCTCGGCTCAAATGCGTTCTGTGCGTTGGTGTAGTGAGTGAGACTATAGTTTTCCTGACTAAACCATTTCATCCCCTGTCTGGAAAGGGAGGAATTAATGAGAAATGTGTGAGCTGATAAGGTTAAACTAATATCCAAAACGCTGTAATATTGCAGTTAAAAAACGTAACGGTCTCAGACACATCGCCAAGATATGTCAGTGTAAAGTGTAAACATATATGATTTTCAAGCAAAAAAACTGGAATAAACGAAGTTAGAGAGAAACGTTATTGGTGGACGAAAGGGGAGTTGTCTTCAGGGACAATCTGGTGGAAATATGCGAGGAGACTACGTCAGAGACACACATATATTTCATATGAAGAAAATTGGATTAATTCAACTCACAAGCATTCAAAATCTTTGTATCTCAGTTGCTAATTAAATGCGACAGTTTTGCTGATGTTCATATGATTTCTGATTGAAATAACCATTGTCTATTTTACGACAATAGAAGAAGGTATTACGCAACAATACGTCAGCCGATGTTCATCTACAACATATTATGTGATTGCAACACTCACAATGAACGGGCCACATTGTATCCGTGTCACTGAGCCTCAGCAGCACAAAGGACGATAGGTCACTGTAGCCTTTTTACACAACAGACCACAGTCAGACTGAAATAATTACGGCTTCGGCAGCACGAAAATTATGTAGGCCACAGCTCAAAAACGCTGTAGGCCACTGCATCACTGTAACACAATAAATTAGAACCGCCTAAATCACCGCAGGCCATAGCAGCCAAAAACGCAATGGGCCACTGCTGCCTTAGTCACGACAGCATTGAAGTAGTCCAGGCCACAATAGTTTCAAAATAACGTAGGCCACTGATACACTCAAATAATGTCGGTCACTGAAGCCCCCAAATAACGTAGGCCACTGGTACACTCAAATAATGTCGGCCGCTGAAGACCCCAAATAACGTAGGCCACTGATACACTCAAATGATGTCGGCCGCTGAAGCCCCCAAATAACGTAGGCCACTGATACACTCAAATAATGTAGGCGACTGAATCCCACAAATAACGTAGACCACTGGTGCACTCAAATAATGTAGGCTATTAAAGCCTCAAAATAATGTAGCCCATTGATACACTCAAATAATGTAGGCGACTGAAGCCCCAAAATGACGTAGATCACTAAGACACTAACATAATGTAGGCCACTAAGCCCCAAAATGACGTAAGCAACTGAAAACCTCAAATAATGTAGGCCACTGACTTGGTTGATGCATGTCATCGTATCCCATTTGCGAAAATCGAGGTTCATGCTGTTGATCACTGGATTGTCTGGTCCAGACTCGATTATTTACAGACCGCCGCCATACAGCTGAAGTGCGAGTGAGTACAGTTTAACGCCGCTTTTAGTAATATTCCAGCAATATCACGGCGGGGAATCATATAGCTGGAATATTGCTGAGTGCGGCGTTAAACAACAACGTAGGCTATTGAGGCACTGATATAACGGAGGGCACTGAAGCAACAGAACACTGAATGTCAAGGATGCCGAACATTAAGAGACACTGTTACCAAGAAACCTGTTACAATAAGGCACGCTAAACAAATACAAGTCACTCAAGGTTATTCTCTGTTGCAGGTATTGCGGGTTTGGACAATGTTAACTTCATAACGAGCACCCTGGATCAACTACGGGCGAGGGAGAAACCTCCCATATTGCGGCCACGTGTGACCATGGAACAGTTACAGGAAATGATGAACGCAGGCCGCTAGGTGGCGCTGGAATTACCGGATGTTCCTGCGACTTGAAAAAAACAATGTGATGTCAACAAACAGTATTGAAGAACATGTCCTGAAGAGCAGCTCTACGCTAAATTGTGAACCGATTGGATGAGTGAGAGAACCAGCATGTCCATACTCGCACGATGTGAATGGGGTCTCCACTACGAGCGTGCAATACTGGATGAACAGCAGCGTCCTACTGGAGACTCCTCCCCTAACATTCTGCATATTAAACTTGGACCCCTTGCCTCAATTCTACTGTCAAGAAAACTGATTTTGAGTTGTACCTGAGATGGATAGAGATCAAAATTTGGTAACAGAATATTTCGACAAAATATGACATTTTTCGTTACGTTTGGGCCAAGGGAGTAGCGTAGGTCATTGGCTTGTGTTGTCGAGACACATCGTCAGTAAATGTTAATAGTAGTGTGTAGTTGCCTATTGTTTTGCTCTTGATTGTGAATATTCTGTTGTTTTGTAAATGTTTTCCGATAAGACATTATTTTCTTCGTTATAAACACAAAACAATAGGTTGTTATCTCCAATACTCCAATTCCAATTGGCAATTTGGTGAATGAATCAGGCGTGCTGTCTGGACAAAAACCTTGTTGGATACGAAACTAGAATAAAAACAATAAGCATTGTCCTTGACCCCTCGTGTGCTTATATGTCCAGACAGGGTTTGGCGGGAAACTATTGTATTTCACTATGACGTTGCCCTGATATGACGTTTGTCAGCATGACGTCAAAAGGATATATTGTAGTAGTACAGAGCTTAATTACTTTGTCGGAAAGGATTATAGGGCTATTTTTATCAAATCGGGTGCTATTATAATAAGACTGATTAGTTTTCGTTTAATAAGTTAAAAGTGATATCAGTCTCATAATAGTTTCCATATTTGGTGTAGATCAATTTACGTCATACCGCCTTTTGCCGGTATTTCCTGATTATAAATTGTTTAACGTTCCTTGTGTGTTGACATTAAAGCGTGGAGTGTGACTATCACGGTATTTGTTTCAATTGTTGACTTTCGCTGACAACTTCACAGAAACTACTCACGAATGACTATCTATACACTAATCATAAACCACTCACTATGGAAACACTACCCATGAGCCAATAATTATTCACGAACCAACTTTTCACGAACCACTATCCGTACACTATCATTCCCACTACGCACTACCAACAACCACTATCCATACACGTCCCATGAACCATTGTGCATACGAGGACTATTAAGTACAATAAATTCACTAACAAACAACCACTATCCATACACGTCCCATGTGCCACTATCCATACGCTAATCAATAACCACTATCCCTACACTAGCCAACGAACACTATCCATACCCGTCCCATGAGCCAGTATCCGTACGCTAATAAGCAACCACTGTCCTTACAGTAACAACCACTATCCTTACACTACCCACGTACTAGAAGCCATACACAATACAAAAACCGCTATCACGCGACAATGAGTTAACACAAGATATTTTGTCCAACGCCGTAGCTGAACTTCATTAATATTGTCACCTGATCAGAGAATGGTGCGGAAGAAAAACAGAGTTGACATTGGAAAATTGTAATGAATAGCCAGATCGATTAATTTTCAAGCTCATACTCACTTTCAAAACGCTTTCATTTCGGGTATTACCCAATATCTACTCTTCAACGTGTGAGGGATGATGGTGCAACGCCGTTAAGAACATTAATTCACTTATATCATGGCGCGTCGTCTCACGTGGGAGAAAAGATAAAAGTTTTCGCATTTTTTGCTGAGCCTGGTGTTATCAAATTTAAAGAAACAAACACAGACGAAATAACGCGGTGCGACAAATACTTGAATGAATGAAGTCAACTGTCTGGCAGAAGAAAACACACACTTTAAATTTAGGCAGGATAGAAAATTATAAACTGTTATCTTATCAAAACTTACCAAACTCAAAACAGTTGCCGAAACAGTGAAAATGTAGATGAAAAAAAACCTTCTGTAACACTGGTGAGGTGAGGTGAAATTGGGTTTAACGTCGTGCTTGAGAATATTTCGCTCATATGACGACGTGCATGCGTGTGTATGTGCCGCTGCTTGTACTAGCCCAGACTTAAGCTGGTTTTATAGTGCTAGCTCACTGAGATACCATGCCCCAGTGAAGCATGAATACCCCACTCAGACACATTATACTGACTCCGAGCCGACCAGTCCTTGTTGTACCCATTAATGCCGAGCGCCAGGCAGGGACCATCAAGTACCATATTTTAACGTCTTTTGGTATGACGCGGTCGGGGATCGAACCCGCGACCTTCCGCTCTCCGGGCGGACGCTCTAACCACTACACCACGGAGGCGGTCTCACGATATGAAGTACAAAATGTGCTGATGATAGTGAATGTAGTATATTCTCCAGGCGGCTGTGTTGGAACCAATCCCAGATATTCCGACTGAATGTAATACAGTGTAAAAGTGTTGTAGCTACCAATGAGGACATGTGTCATAAAAGTCCAGAAACTCTCCGCACTGTGGACACTTTCTGACAAGGGGTTTGACCAAATTAAACATGCAGTTGTTATGAATATATATGCTAAGGATGAAAAAATTCGAATTTTTTTTCGAAAAATTGAAACTTGCTCGCCCTAGCCCAGCGGATAAGTGAGGTGAGGTGAGGTGAAATTGGCTTTTACGTCGTGCTTGAGAATATTTCGCTCATATGACGACGTCCAGCGGATAAGTGGTCAAATAGTGCACTTTCTTTTACAAGCATGAAATTTGGCATGATAGATGGAGAGGCCTCGCAGATTTTTTATATTTTCCATAATTTTGGGGGAAAAGTGAAAAAAAATAGTTTTTTCTACTAATTTCGTCATAACTTCTTTTAAAATTCTCCAATTCTCATAAGGCACACATCAAATTGTAGGAAATCAATAGCTGATCATTTTCCATCTATACATGTCTTTTATCTTTAACGGTTAAGTCTACGGAAGTCAATTTATACCATGACTACCCGAAAATGGGAAAATGGCCGCCATATAGACTACATCAGTAAAATAAGTATGAGATCATCCCATGACATAAAATATTTTTATGATTTCTTTGCAAATTCAATACGAGAAGCCTCGCAGATTTTGGCCAGTTTTCCCATTTTCGGGTTGTCATGGTATAAATTGACTTCCGTAGACCTAACCGTTAAAGGTAAAAAGACATGTCAGAAAGTGTCCACAGTACGGAGAGTTTCTCGTACAACCAAACCATCTAATTGTTAATCATTGATTGTGTTAATCATATTTATAGCCTCATGGTAGACGAAAATACATGCAGCTTTTTTAACAATGACAATCATAGAACACGTCTCAAAATGGAGCCAGTTTATTACATAATTACATTTCCGACATCGGGCATGTAGACAGCTTCAAATATAATCTCTTTGATACGATATATAACGATACCATTTAAAATATATTCTCAGCAATATTGCATTCCACAGGCCCATGAAGGGATTTGATGAATTAATTCCAGAGTGGAATATATCGGTTTCCATTAATGGTGTATCTCAAAAGATTGTACCTTTGTTCTAGTTTATTTGTTGTCAGAAAGTATCGGGATGCATACACTGTTTTGTTTGTCACTTTATTTGAATACCCTTGAGCATTCTGATTATCTGAAACCTTGACCATCAACGAGGACGATGACCCATAACCAGCGTGACCAGAATATGACACTGAGGACATTTTAAACCCCCATTATAAACACAACTGCAGCGATTTGTCCAGATTTCGTCAATTATTCATAAGGAGGTCATCAATTATTTAGCGAGTGGTCTTACAGTGGCCATATGGTGATATGATCACGTGTGGCCTGGTCATCTAAGACACCTCCAGTTACTGACCAGAGCTGTGCGGCCCTGTGCGGCGAACCAAAGCTCCGTGTTTCTATGGAAACATATGGTCAAGTACAGCAGCAGCATCAGTGAGTGAGTGAGTGACTGGTTGGTTGTTTAACGTCGCACTCAGCAATATTCCAGCTGTATGGCGGCGGTCTGTAAATAATAAAGTCCGGGCCAGACAATCCGGTGATTAACAACATGAGCATTGATCTACGCGATTGGGAACCGATGACATGTGTCTACCAAGTCAGCGAGTCTGACCACCAGATCCCGTTAGTTGCCTCTTACGACAAGCATGGGTTACTGAAGATCAATTCTAAACCGGATCTTCACGGGTCAGTGAGTGAGTGCATGAATGCGTGGGTGGGTTTTGAACAGTATTCCAGTTATTCATAGAGTGTCTGCTTGGTTTTAGACCCTACCGTTCCTGTGGAACCCTCAATTAGTCGCCCTGGATATGTTTTTCGGTTGGTCAGCACCAAAAACGGATACGTGGCATTTAATAAACTTATTAACGTCAAATACCTACAAAACACTATAATCACGTCCGCCTTTCCTCCAACATCAACGTATGTTACAGAAAGCGGCGTTGCAACCAACCTAGCTCAAACACTCAGTCATCCAGTGGTATTCGACTCCTATTACCATTGAAACACGACTTGCCAAAATGCTTAGTAATGCCAGGTAATCGGTACTTTCCACTGACAGTAGTTTCCGTCTCTCCTGGTTCATGAAGAAAACACTTAAGCTGCTTGGCTATGCTAAATTCCAAAGTAAACTTTTGACAGATATGAATATCTCCAGAATTAGCTTGACAAAAGAAACTTAATTATATACTACTCAACCCTTTTTCACATACACATAGGTTTTACACAAAATCTGTTTATTGAATGATCAGATAGAGCTTGGTCTTTCCCTATCAAAAGTTGAGTAATACGCACATTTGATTGATGTGTCGTTAGGTATTGCAATCGCTATCACTCGCTGAGTGAAGTATGTTTCTCCTGAGGACATTAAGAGTGACTGATATAAACTTGTATTTTAAATAGACGCAAGGCTCGATTATTTAATGACAACTGTGTAGAAGAGGGATTTATGATAGGTATTCCGGGGGCGTGTGAAGACAAGAATGCACCGTTATAACACAAGGCCGCTGCTACCTTGTCATTGTGCTTTCAAACCGTCACTAGCTTAAGTATCTTCAGACAGCAAGACGTAAAACGCTTTAGCTTTCAATATGTCGTTTTTAACAAACTACCAAAAAGCCCCAATTATATACAAAAACACTCGACAAGAAACAGTTAAACGGCATCAAATATTCCTTATGTAGTCAAAATCACATTTGAAAAATCTGTAGCCAATTACAGTGTTTCAAAACGAAAGAAAAGAATAAATGTGAACATATGAATGATAGATGCATTGATAAATTCAAATGAATAATTGTAAATATTTTGAACTAAATGATTTTAATTATAGTTAACTTTCATCACAAGTAATATTTTGTCACATCTGTCGTTAGTAATTTGCAATACCATTCACGCATTAGTGCATACATGTATTTAATGGGTAGTAATAGATATCCAGACACCTCACAACAATTTATTTACAACTTTAAAAGTTGGAATTTAAAAATTAATACTTAGGATTTGGCTTACATGACCCACCTGTCGCCAACGTGTACATTTGAATCGGTAGTGAGTGAGTTTAGTTTTACGCCGCTTTTAGCAATATTCCAGCAATATCACGGCAAGAGACACCAGAAATGAGCTTCACACATTGTACCTTTGTGGGGAATCGAACCCGGGCCTTCGGCTCACTATTAAGATATGCTTAAATACTTTTGCTTTTAAATTCCTTTACAAGCTTTAAAGTAAAATGATATCAAAGCTGGACAGAAGAAAAGGCAAACTGGAAACGCCTATCATCTACTCTATCTTAGTATATCCACTCTTATTTAGATAACGTCGATTGGACATCTCGCTTTGTAAATCAATGTTTTAAAGAACGTAAATTGTTTTAATTGAAAGGAAGAGCTTCAACATTAAACAAATAACAACCCTCAACCCATGTTTTGTAAAATATTGTTCAATACATTCCAGGGGACAAATTTCAGTGGAGTGAAA